TAATGCCAGACAGTAGAAGAAAAGAAAAAATCCACAGGAAAACAAGCCCCAGTAACAGAAAATACGGGAGCCCTCCCTCCACCATGTTTTTTTGACTGGAAGGAACCCCTCCTGGCTGGAAGAGAGCCCCTTTCCCCTGCCTCCAGCAAGGACAGGAGGTGATAGAGAATAACCTCCATGTCCTAGTCCCCTCACAGCTCCTGCAGACAATTAACCCTGTCCTGGTCAGAACCAGGACATCTAGCTTTTCTTGGTTTTATTGGTTTAAGAAAGGAAGAGGGTGGAGGGAGGGACACGTCATGACCCATGGGGAGGGTCATGAGGTTCATTACAAATTCTCCTCAGGCTGAGCAAAGACACCAGACCATGGGTCAGGGAACTTTTGGGCTTTATTGTGGAGTCACACTGGGCTGGTGCCCACTAGTGTCACTCCAAAGGTGGTGGCTGACAAGACCTGAAATTTGTACAATAGACTTCCACAAGCAGTGGTTAACAAGACCATAATTTTGTACAGTACAATTGTACAGTACAGCTTCAATAAGCTCTCAAGTCCTCACAAGAAACTTCTCAAAGGTTTATTTTGGTGGAAACTGAGAATTTTTAGCCTGGCAAATTTCCATTCCCTGCAGGCTGTGATAAGCAGATATAAACACATGCAGAGATTTCTGTACGATTCCACTGTTCACCTTTTGTCTACAGTATCAGTTTGCTTTCAGAGTCTTCACAGGATTATAAAAACACAAGTAGAAAAGAGCATGAAATAGTTCTGCTTTGGTTCTTTACATCATCATTCTACTTGAACAGCTTTGCATGAGCATCATCTCTCTTGCCAGGCTTTTCTACTGATAGTTACAGTATGTAGTTTTTTAAAGCTGTGTTGCCAAAAGCAAACGGTTTTGAATTTTTATGTGGCTTTGAGTTCAACTATTTTCCCTTTCTTTGCATGTTAATTCCCACTCATATCGCTAGGGATCTACCATGTATTACAGTACTCTTCACAGGAATTCACATCATCTAATGTTAAGCTTTAGGTGTATCTTCTTTCTGGTCAGTTCATTAATACTTAAAATTTCTGCAGTTTGAAATACAGGAGCAAGGATACGTGGCTCCAACAAGGAATAAAAGCAGTGTAAGGAAGACTCCTGGGGAGCTTCCTCTAGGAAAGGCAGAAATGTGTGTGCAGTCCAAGCCTCAGGGTTGTGTAGAGGGAGGAAGGCACTGTGTGTATCTCTCCATTTGCATGTCAGAGCATGTTTCCACTGATCCATATGTGATCACTCATGTTCCTCACCCTTAGAATCACCATTAAATATTTCTTCTCCTGAGCATCTGCAAAGACATTTTGTAGAGATGTTGTGTGGACCAAGTGAAATTTTCTCAGCATCTGCATCTTCCACATGAAGTATTTCATAGGCGAAATATTACTGCTTCAAAATTCCCCTTCAAATATTCTGTTTTCAAAATTTTCAATTGCAAGTCATCCCCATTTGCATTTCACAGGTCCCCAGGCTGGGCTTACGGTCCAGCAGCTGTTCGTTATGGCACTACTGCTGCATGTGCAGCTTTCCTTCTTCGGCAGAGGGGGAGGAGGGAACTGAAGAGGATGTGGACTCATGAAACCACTGCTCTCCTGCAATCCTTTATGCAGAGGACAAGCAGAGAAACCAACAGTTGCAGTGGAAAAAAATCTGCTCTTCCAGCAGCAAGGCAGCTGCTGTTACTTGAAAACACACAGTGTGCAGCAACAAGCAGCAAGTAAATACCCTGCTCCACCAAGCGTCTGCAATTTGATATGCCACTCTGGGAAAGACATAAAAAGGTTTTGCTGAAATCCATCTGCCTGTGACTGCAAACGGATCATCATTCCCTATCCCCGTTCAGATGGCAGGGGAACAAACTGCCTCGAGGTACAAAAGGCAAATTACTTGAAACACTTGGCTGCAGCACAGGGCAGTGTTCTGAGAAGAAAGACGGATGGTATGCTGACATGATAGGAATACAACTTTCCTCCCCAAAAAAGCAGCTAGAGTGCCACTTCAGTTTGGCAACTTCAGTTTGGCAACTTCAGCTTTTAATTCAAAAGGCTTTTCCACTCCCATGATGGGGCACAAAATATTTTTCTCATGATATTCCATAACATCATTACTGCTTCCATTTTTTATATGCAAAAAGGTAGAAGAGACATTTTAAAAAAAGAAAAAGATTCAAATTTTTTTTTGAAAAGTTAAGATTTCTTTTTAAATATTAAAAATGCAAAAGCTCTATCAAAGTATTTTCTTCCAAATTTAGGGAACGCCCCCAGCAGAAAACAGTTCTGTACAGACAGTGCAGTATGTTCTCCATCTACACCCCAGAGAAGTTTTACACCCACTCCCCAAAACAGCTTTCACTCCACAGGAGGCAAGAACTGTGCTGGTAAGGTTTTAATGAGCTGTGGTAAATGTAATTTAAGTAAACATTTTTATTACCTATGGTAAGTAACTTTCTGTAAGCAAAACTATCATTCCTGTTCCTTTAGTTACGGATTTTATTTCCACTACAGGCTTGTTCACATTAGGTCAAACTAACACAACATTTAATTCCTGTGCACCCTTAGGCTGTATCCCAAAACTTGTTGCTTGGTTTTGACTTCTAATAGAAGCTGTGGGGGAAAATACAACATAATATAGGGAAATTGAGTGTTAATTCTGTATTTTTACAGCTGAAATTAATTTTTTTTTTGAGTTGCAGAAGGGGGAACAAAAAGTGGTGATGCATTAACCCTGCCCACCTTGCTGGACAGATGAGAAAGGAGCTGTTCGAAGACAGGGCTGATTCAAGGAACAATTGTGCTCCCAGGCTGAGGGTGGATCTGTCAGCTTTTGCACAAAGAGAGCAGAAGAAAAGGGAGAAATGAAGAGACCTTCTTTCCTTGAAATTCTTAGGCAGGCTAAGGGAAGTACCAGACATGAGATTCTAACACTCAGCCCACAACCACAAAAAGAATTTCAGTAAACTTGCACCTGTACTTAATAAGAAAAATCAATGTCATTTTTATCAGACATCAATATCAATCGGGGAAAAAAAACACTACTTAATTTTAAGCAAAACCTTTATTTTAGTTCAAAGGCTTGTTTGTATTAAAACCAGTTACTTCAAAATCAAATTCACATAAAATTCAACATGTAAATAAACTGAAGTTGTCGTTGGTCATGATCCATTTCTGAAAGACAAGGGCTCCAAATGGCATTTTAAACAACTTGCATGGCAACAGATAAAACTGGGACAGCAGGAGCATCTCTGAGTTTACAGACTGAGGAGTTGAACTGTCCCCACTTGCTTCAGTACATTTTAAAATACCACCTGCAAACCAGTGCCATTTAATGATTTCTCTATTTCCCATAAATTCACTCAGAAATGATTGAAAAAAGCATCCCAGTTTAATCTGCTACTTCACAGGAGTAAATTCTTTTGAGTAGTTACAGGCACTGCTATTTGCTGCCAGCAAGCAAAGTACTTGTCTTAAAACATTTTCCTTACAACACCAACAATCAAGCTACATTATATACAGTTCAATTGTACAATTATCTTTAAAAAATGCCCATGTACAAAATAGAGGGTTATTTTATTTTTAAAAGAAATCACATGCTAGATTTCAATTACATCAATATTTTAGAAGAATTTAAAAAAAAAATTGATAAATAACATTCCAATTTATTCGGAACAATCCTGCAAGCAAGTGCAGAGGTACCTGCACTATATTTAATATTCTAATATGCTTTTTAGGGCAATTTGTGCTATAAACCTCACGTGCGAAGTATGTGGAAAGCTCTTACTTGTGACAATAGAATAGAAGCTACTTAATTAATGCAAGAGTATTTCAGTAAAATTATTCTACTTATGAAGTAAATACCAGAAGAGCATCTCATTTACAGCCAGTTAGACAAAGAACACAACTAGTGACCAGAACACATACATTAGTCAAAAAGTCAAATATATACAAAAATATATTAGAAAGTGGTTGAGTTTAACCACAGGCTCATGTAAAAAATGTTGTTTTAAATAGCAATAGCAAAAAAATAGCTATTTCTCTATCTGCAACAGTACAAAAGGCAACACCTACATATGAGGTAGCAATGCCAAATTAAAAAAACCAACAACTTTGGATTGAGGAGCAATTCCTATATTTTCATAGCATATCTGTCAATACAAATATTTAAATGAACACTTCAATTGTTTCAAGAACTACAACATTAATTTACAAAAACCTTTTTTCAATGAACATTTTTTTTTAAAATTACTGGAAATTGGCTTAGTTACTGATTTCTTCTGTTTCTAAAAAAGCTGTTGCATTTTCAAACCCAAACACTGTACAGAAAAAACGTGGAGGCTTTATTATACACACTTGGTAAACGCTATGGTACATTAAGACATAATTTACAAAGATCAGAATAAGCTGACTGTGGTCATTTGATCCTTTTCTGTCTAATGTGCATTCACTGCACACTTTTGCTACCCCCTGTTCAATGCTAGAGGCAGGACAAGGGTTCACTGCTCAATTCCACAGCTCTGCCCACAGCCAAAGCAAGTGTTTGTATCATCTACTTTCAGGAGTCTGAGCCAGAAGCATGGTTTCCATCCAGGGCAAGGGGCACTGCCAGGCAGCAGCTTCAGAGCTCCCCTAGGTCTGTGCTGAAACTGCCTCAAGAATGGGACGGGAGGAGGGGACAGCTGTGCCCCTTCCCTTCTCCCAGTTCTATATCCCTCAGTCCCTCCTGCAGGTGCAGGGCAGGAGTGGTCACCTGAGCCTCCCTGACCAAAAAAAATCCCATTAATGAAAAGCCAGGAGGGGAACAACCACCTAGCTGAGCTGTGCCAGCTCCAGGCCCTGGGCTGCAGGCCCCTCATGTGGGTCAAATCCTCTGCTGCCAGCTCACTGACCAAAAAGACCCTGCTGCTCCTCCAATTCAGGCAACTAAATTGGGCATCTGAAGTCAGATGGTACAAGTAACACCAAAAAATGAACTGGATGGAATTTCAGCATTTATTGTATTAAGAAAATAATATACTTTACATCACAGTGCTTAATTAAACGCAATAAAAAAAAAAAATGTAAACTCGGAATTCTAGATAAAATTTAGCTTGAAAAATTAGGGCTCCAAGAGTTTTTAAAATTCACAATATTTTAAGAATTGAAGTCACAGCCAGTCAGTTCACATAACTCATGTATTTAAGCTTACTTGTAAATACCTTTGATGCACTCCAGAGTTTGGCCTTTTTTTTTTTTTTTTAAAAAGCCTAAATGACAAATGACCAAGTGCAAAGGTAAGAGGTATATTTTATCTGCAAAGAAACTAACTTTAGAAGTAACTTTCCAACCAGGAACCTGGAGTGCTCTAGTAGATGTAAGGAAATATGCGGTATGGTACACGCTGGCAATACCTTTCCCATGCCAAACCATATTTTTGCTTACAATGATGTTCATCACGAGCTTCTCGATGAACAAGCAAGCAGATGAAATATATCACGTAGAAATACGGCAAAATGTGGTTAAAACCTGTAAAGTAAAGTGAGAAATACAATTTAGATACAGAAAAAAAAAATCCAGAGATGTTAGCTATTAACATGTATTAAGCTGGTGACACACACTTGTTAAAGACTGAAGCATCTTATATTCCTAAAGCATCAAACACTCAACAGGACAGTTGTGTGACATATGTTTACATGCAGACAGGAAAAGACCCACAAATCCACAAAAAGTCATCCTTAAAATTTAAAGTCACAAAATCTACCAACTTCACTCTCAATGCATGCAAAGCTTATCAAACCCACACTTTTTCTAGTTAAACCTCTGCAGCACTGAACTGCCCCACACAAGGTTTTCTCTGTTTTTGCTGTAGACATGAGTCCAGCTTTGCTCAGACCACAGTATTTGACTTGTGGGTGGAAAAAACTGGAAAATGACCCAGAAATGTGTGACTGCAGCCCAGAAAACCAAATATTCTGGGCTGCAGCAAGAGAAGCGTGGCCAGCAGGTAGAGAGAGCTGATTCTACCCCACTGCTCTGGTGTCCTGAGATCCCACCTGGAGTGCTGTGCCCAGCTCTGGGGTTCCCAGTGCAAGGAAGAGTGTGTATTCCCTAACCAAAATTGAGACAGAATTTCACTCCTTTGTGTCTGATGACTTTTTTTTTAAATGTATTTTGCTTAGTCATCCTTACATGTGGTAGCCCCTGGTGTACAAGCAAATTCCCACTTTTGGGGAACTTCATTTGAGAACACTATAGCACACCCATTAGCCTAAAAAATTTAAGGAACAACTAATTAGGAAGCAAGTCCCATCGTTACTGAATGATAAAATATTAGAAATGCAAGTAAAATCTATAGTATGTCAAATGTACGGCAAGATAGAAAGGGGAAGATGAAAGAGAAAATAGGTGTTGCATTAAACTTATGACACAGAAATTGGCCATTCAGGGGGTTATAGGGTTTAGTATCCCAAATAATTATCACTTTACATTTCAAATCCAGCCAGATGCCAAAACATAAAATCATTTTTTATAAAATCCACTTCACTTTCAGAAACTTACCACAGGGTAGGGACCATGCTAGAGCCATGATGATATCACCGAGATAATTAGGGTGACGAACAAAACCCCACCAACCCGTGACAAGAAGCCCTTTTCCAGTTGCAGTGGGTATAAATTTCAGATCTGTGAATAGAGTATTGTAGTCAATACAACAATTGAAATATATATTTAAATACCACAAAGAGACATTGTATAGCAACTGAATAAGAAATGTACTTACTGGCCAATTTGGGATCTGAGGGATTCCTTCGGAAATTATTTTTCTGAGAATTTGCACTACGGAATATGTAATACCCAATACCTGAAAACAAATATGATTTATTTTGCATTTTCAGTACTTTCCAGTTCTCTTTGCTTCAACAAAAGAACTCACTCTTATCACTTCAGCCTTTTCCTCAGAGATGCAACTGATATTTTCTCCCAGAATTTTCTTCACAGAATTCTAACAAGATGGAAATGCCATCGGAAACCTGCTCTTACAGCTTAGTAGCTTTTATAAGATTTTGGAGAAGCTTTATTTTCACATCTATTTTTTACATTTGTATCTGATATAGTTTATTAATGTAACACTGAGTGTGAAATTCACATAAAGGTGATGTGCTGCACTTTGTAAAATAACAGCTTTTTTAGCAGCCCAGTATTTTGCTACAGTGCCTACTCTGTAAAGTGACCAACTATTTACAAATTCACAGCAATAAAAGAACCAGACAACGAACTCTCTGATTTTGAAATTAATTTCCCCCACCATTTTCACACAGCAGGTTAAATTTGCTTTTATCAAAGCTGTACTGAGAAAAGATGATCACAACATATTTCAAATAATGACGTTCTTAAAAGAAAAAAAATAAAAACCCAAGAAAAAACATTAACTGAAGATGAAAAAATGCTGTTGTATTTCTCAGTATTGCACATCTTAAGTTGTACCCCTTTTCTTTTTTTCCAAGTGCTTAAATTCTTTGCCATGTCTACAAAAAACAGGCAGGTTTTTTAGGTTTACTATTCAGGTAAAAGGGACAAATTACAAGGCCATGTTGGTGCAAACTTAAGGTCCTTTCTCAAAGCACTCGGCTAGAAAAAAGATGTTTTCCTTTAACATGTGTATGTAACTTGGGCATCAGGGAAGAAGATGCAAACACTGAACCTAGGGAAAAAGTAAAGCACAGCCAACAAAGCACTGACTTCTTTTTTGAGTCACTTGCAGTCATTCAGATTAACAGATACGTTCGAAAGTCAAATTCAAAACATTTCAGGTCACTTAACTCCAGAGAGCATCCACCTAAAGATGCCTCTCAACAGAACAATTAGGTGTTCAGAGTCTCATCTACCCTTCATTTAATAAATATATTCATTAAACAGTAGCAAGGCACATGCTTCCACCAGCTCTAATACAGAAAATATGATCACTGCATCTGAGCTAAAGCTCCACCTCACATCTCAAAATCAGTACTAGTTTGTAACAATAACATTTACTGTAACTTACAGTTCACAGCAGTAATTGTGGCAGCAACAGGCCAAGAAATCACAGTAGGATGACCCACTAAATAGAAGGCCTGCAGACTGTAGACAAATGGAACCCACACCAAATCTCCAAATGCCAGCATGAATCCAAATCCATCATGGGTAATATCCATTGTAGTCAAAACGGCTTCCTAAAAGCAAGGAGGAAGGAATTTAGAATTTTAAAGGTCTCCTTCATTTGACACTGTACTTAGAAATGCTAACACAGTTTAACAAGATTGTCATTTACCTCGTTCCAAAGAGCATCCACCACATACAGAAGCTGAAAGCTGTTCACAAGTACCATTGACAGGGATGGCATACTTAGATTGTGTATCTTCATCTCAGCCAAGAGCATTGCCAAGTTTATAACAACCTAGTTCAGAAAATATTTTATTTAAAAATTTCCTTGTTCCAAGTGGTCTTTTCAATTAGACTATAGGACACTTTAACACAGATATTTTTGAACAATGTTTGAGTTTAAAAAAAAGGCTCTATAGTTTGCAAGTAACCACATTTCTGAAGCCATATAACCTCAATATATGAATACTTAAAGAAGGGTTTTCATTTCCCACAAAGCAAAGAAGCTAGAAATTTCCCTAAAGTGAATAAAAATGGTCATTAAAAATCTGGCAACGTGTAAATGTTTTTCAGTACTTCCCCCACCCCTGTTTATAAATATATATAAAATCCTTAATACCAATTATACATAAAAAACCAAGATCTCCGTGTAATATTTAAGCAAATAAAATAACTAGGATTACTGACTCACCCAGCCAATTAATCCTGGACGCAATTCACAGAAGTATTTGAGGTCAAAATTGCCAATACGAGGGTTTAATTCATGTCCAGTAAAAAAATCATAAATGAAATACCCTGTGGATAAGACACAGCCTCTGTTAGCAATACTGTTACTTTCATCTGCCACTACACTCAGCACCACAAATAAGATCCTACTTTCCATTAACGCTCTCTCATTATCAATTTTTAAAAGCCTTTATATTAGAAAAAAAATGAAGAGTATATGCAAAATACAAAGCAAAATTCATACACTTGGTTTTTTAAGATGCCCAAATATTTTATTTATTAGGAGGACTAAACACTTTAGAAGTTACTATTGGTTTATTTCTCCCAGACACCTGTTCCTTATTTTCAGCCTCATCCTGAAGCTCACATCACAGTCTCCACGAACGTGATCTTATGGCATTAATTAATTCTACTTTCCCTCCTATTTCATTGCTTTTTTCTGGGAGAAAAAATTCCTTTAGCTATGATTACCTGTTCATTAAAAGAGATGAAGAAGCAAAATGCCTGGACTTCAAGATACCCTGGACTGAGTTTGCAAAAAATAAGCACTTTGCAGAACACTTACCAAATGCTACTATGCTACCTGCAGAGACTAGAAGTGCACTTTTTGAAGAAAAAAAAATGATAATTTATTTCCCTTCACACACATAACATGCTGCACTAACAGAACTAAGGGTATTTGAATACTTCATTGTAATACAGTAAGTGTTCTGTCTTCTTAGTCACCCTATGGACATTTATAAGAGCAGTTTCAATGCTAATAGACTTCTCAATCTATCCTTTGTCCTACAAAAACATATGCATATAATTGATACTTTCTAGGAAGGCAGTCTCATGACTGAATCAAAATCTTTTTTGAAAACTTCCATTCAGTTAAATAGATTTAAAAGCATGTGCAAAATAAAAGTTTAGAAACACAATGTAATTTTAAGTTCTGTACCTGACTTCCCACTGATAAAATATTTACATTTTTCAGGGTTTTTTTCAATTCTCAGCTGTTTCAAGAAAAGGCGGGGGCACTATGAAGCAAACTACACAAGCCTCTCAGACAAAAAAATACTGAAAACTGAAAGGAAAGAACTGTCCTCTCATCACAGGGGACCAGACCAGCCAAGATATTATTCCATAGAAAATCCAACTAAATTTTTAAGCATTTTAGAGTATCCAAGTGAGAACAAAAATTTGCCAGTTAACTTTTAATATTATCTTTACATTTGTAGAAATCAAAAGTCAAAGCATTATATTCAAAGTCCTAAATCCTACACTTTAATTCATAAAAATGAAACTGTAGCAGACAATCGGAAAGAAGTTATCCAAAATATTTTATAACTCACCAGAATTTCCACTTGGTGCTAGTTCTTCCTCGGGTGCTTTCAGGGACCGAACATACAGATAAATGCTCAATGCCAAAGAAAAAGCTGCAGCTGACACTGCAAACTGCATGAAGTGATCATACAAATAATGAAGTTCAAACTGAAAGTATAATAAAATTCCAATAGCTGCAGCAGTGAAAATAAAAGCATAAAACCCTAAAGGATGTAGAAAAAAAGACATATTAGTCAAAATAAAAAAAATACCTTTCTAGTAGAACCTCCCCAGTCCAAGCTTTCTGCGTTTTCCTTTCTTCCAAGATTTGTTTATATTCCAATAATGTCTTACACATCCCATGCTCTCAGTCCAAACTTCTGGGGCACAGCAATTTACCTTAGAGACTCTAAGCCCTGAAATTTATTGTGCTCCTCTTCAAAAGGACAAGAGGGAGGAACACTCTGAGCGCTCCTACATTTTTTATAACGCAGGATCTAATTTCAGGTTGTAGTGGAAAAATGGACACTGACACTACTAATTGATAACAGCAGGTTACAAAATCTTATCAGTGTGACAACTCAGATAACCATATTTTCATCTTTGAGTTTTCATACATACCTTGATACAGATAGCAGTTACTAAACTATTAAGTAACTATCAACTCAAAACTTGAACACAAAACTTTTGTAGCCTTTGAGAGTATCAAACCATGTGGAATGGACGGATGCCCTAATATGAGCAGGCAGTTCTATACTGCTCTCATGTAAGGACCTTCTGTGAACCCTTTCACAGGGTCACAGTGGCTGAGGTTAGAAGGGACCTCCAGAGCTCATCTAGTTTAGTGCTTCCTGATGTTCAGGTGGAACCTCCTGTATTTCAGTTTGTGCCCACTGCCTGTCACTGGTCACGTACCATAAAAGGTATGAGATAACCTCAACATGACTCACTTCTGCAGGATGTAATTCCTCGTTTCCAAGATTTTTAAAGGCCATATTCTGCCTTTAAAATGGTCCATCTTAACAGATTATGTTAAACCTCAACTTTTTAATTTAACATTTGGATTCCACTACTACCAGACAATGCCCTTGAACTGACTAAATCAAATAGGCAGTCTGGAGTACGTTCAAAGCACCAAAGTACACTTGCCTATTAAGGTCAGAAAAAGCAGGACTGCTGAAGTACGCTAAACCACACTCTTGAACTAGATGAGAAACTTGCCTTATTCATAGGAAGTGAAATCAGTTCTAATTAAGGGCTCTGAACTCTTCTTTGACAGGCAGGAATAAGAACATGTTAAATAAATTACAACATACTTCTTATTAGTCTGTAAATCAGAGACATCTAAGATGATTGAGACACATGGGATGAGATCTCTTCAGATCACTCCTCCTGAACAACAGCCTCTGTCACATGAGCATCACTAACACTTCCTGATAGATAACTCCCTGTTTAGCAAGGAATATGACAGGAGTCACCAGTCACAACTGAATGCAGATCAGGTGCCCTGTATAGCATAATGTCTTGCTCTTGGGGCAGTTAGTTCTGGATGATTACTAACCATCTTCTTCTAAGAAAAGGCTCACCCTGTGTTATGACAGATTTACAACACGTACATTTTGACCATAGAATCTATCTTTCGTAATTTGTATTTTGTGGTGCTGAGCACTGCAAATCACATAATGGAATTAATCCTAGAATAAGCAACTGCAACATGCTTACCATTTATCCGGTACTGTAGTTTCTTTCCATTTGAAAGAGGCAGGCCTTCTACAACCTAGGAAGAGTAAAATACTAGTGTTCAACAAAGTACTTTCTGAGAGCACTGGTGGGGGAGAAAACCAAGTACATCTCTGCCAGAAAGACATTCAAATCAAGGTAACCAGCTGGACACAATCAAATCTGAGTACTGTTCTAAAAAAACGTACTTTGGATATCAAAAGGTTAACAGTTTCAATTAAAAACACTTTAAAAAAAATTAATCTCTTCCTAACCAGCCTCAAGAAAGCAGAGCTGCTCCAATTATTGTAAACTACTTCAGTGTCCCTTCAGAATCTGCTAGTAGCCCAAATGTCACAAAAGAAGGCAAAAGAGCATTTGCCTGATATACATATGGCTATATGTATATACATATGGCCTGATATACATATGGCTAGAATGGTTTATAGCTTTCTGTAAGTGAAGATTATATTCTAAAACTTTGGATAGCCATAAGAAACTGAGTATTAAACAGTTTGTGAATTTAAAGGTCAAATACCTGAAATTCTTCTAGAATTCTATCAAGTTTTATCCTTGCTTTGATCTGAATGCCTATATAATGCTTTCTGCCTCTTCTACTGAAAGACTCTGAAATGCATGAATTCTTGACAAACTGTGGTCTTTTAAGCTTACAGAAATCTGCAGTAGCCATATTCCAGATTATGGAAAACTAATTATTTGCTTTTAAATTTGCTGCATTAAGAACACACCCCACGGTCCAGCCCAATGTACAGATCCGTTGCCCATAAAGCCCCAGCTGCTACCAAACAGCCTACCTTTCCAATTGGCAGCAAGTAGAACAGAGCTTGAAGGAAAAACCACAGAAGAAAAATACCAAACACCCTCGTCTCCCAAAGACTTTCAAGTGCTGGGAGAGGAGGGAAGTTCATAAGACTGGGGTCATCTTGTTTACACATCGACAGCAAGTACAATACAGTAGCAGGAAGGAGAAACATCAGCATGAAGGTCCCTGTAAACAGACATCATGGAATATTAGAAGATAAACATAGAAAGTTAAAAAATATAGTTTCAATCCCACTGAAAAAAAAAAAAAGCTCGATATTAACTTCAGTAACAAAGAAAAGGTTGTCTATCTATTCCTGAAGCAAGACAGCAGCAATCCCTAGTCACGTAATGGTACAGAGACATTCTTCTCACTTCCACACAAGGTCATCCATCTACTGAAGGATCACACTCACTGCATCCCCTTAAAACTGGTCGAAAAACTGTAAAAAGAATACTGTCAAGTTCAAAGCACCTAAGTTTCGAAAATGTAAAACCTTTGCTAGTTAACTTCTTAAATCTAATTTAGAAATATTTAGACCTCACTGTGCAAGAGATGGCACAAGATCTTCACTGTATTTCGCATGAGAACCAATGTAATAATGGTTCTTTGACTGCCATCATATCAAGTGAGGCACTATCATACCACTCTGAATTCTGCAAACCAGGGTCCAAAACCTGGAAAAACCGTTCTCGACATGACAGTATGGTCAGTAAGTAAAAAAACCCACAAAGCAGTACTAATTTTCAAATATTAAAAGACAGTTTGCACACACACCAATTCTTCCCCCAAACTCCAGCTCCTTTGTTTTTGATGGTGCTTTCTCAGTTGTTTTTAATGCCGTAAAAATCTTTTTCTCCGAATATATCTCTTCTTTCTTCTTTTCATCTTTCCTTGAACGCAGGCTGTACTGTTCAAAATGCTTTACTTCCACGTCTGGTTTTAACTTTTGCTGTTAATGAATAAAAATAAGTTACTAAAATAATTCCCAGTGATTTTACCTTATTTTACTCCAGTATTTTATAATTCAGAAGACATTATTCACTATAAAACACCAGTGTACAATGTCTTCTACTTCTTTACAGTACTTAAGTTTATGCATTCACACAAAGGGACTGCTAAAACCAGAGTCATTGTGATCACCTATGCTGTGATTCACATAGCAGCAGCAGTTCCAGTACAGATCATGCATTCCTACCCTCCTCCTTTCCCTTCTGCAATAACCCCGTGCATTAACTAACAATTGGGACTAAAGAGCTGATTTGGTTAAATTTAAAACACTTTCTACAGTCAAATATTCACACTGTAAAAGCATCAGAATGAACATAAGTTACCAGAGATGGTTCAATGGAAAAAAGAAAACAAACCAAGAAAAAATGAATGTTATGCAGCTCTAGTATTTTTCCCTTCCCAACTTCATCTCCCTCTCCCCTGAAATTAGCTTGCTGGACAGCAAATTTGCTTGACCTCAAAGTTTTAGACTGCATTCTATTTCTGCTTGATTATTGTAGTGCCTTTGTCTATGAATTTCTGAGATAGCTAAGTTTGAATGCAACATAAAACTACAAGTAAATACAATGTCCATACCTCCAAGATTATGCAGGATGTGTCATTTTTTTCCGTATTTTCAGGTTCACCGTTGTACCTTTTGGTGTTATTCTCACTTGGCTTCTGGTTAAAAGAAGAAATACAGTTTTAGCTTTCTGAAAATAAAAGCTGCAATAAGTGTGAGTGTATAATGAATAATTAAGAACACTGTCTAGTTTTTTTTGTCAACTGCAACTGCTCTGGTTTTCTCCACAGGAAAACAAGTGGGTTCAATATCCAAAGTACAGACAGTTTCAGTACACAAACAGGAAGAGGAGAAGTTGTTTTTTTTTTAATAAACTGTGAAATTAAGAGAGAATACAGCTTCCAAGTTATTTTAACTCATCACTAGGAACTGCCAAATACAAAATACATGTCTATTCAATAATGCTAGTGGCAAGCAGAGAAAACTTCAGTGTCCTATATATGGCACTGCTCTGCAGGACTGAGAGTTGGTTTTCCATTAAATATCTTTGAAGAAATAAATTGTCTTACAAAAATTCTTTCAATGAGCCTAGCTTACACAACTCTGGGAAGACACAACTCATGTGTTCTGTTTCATTTCACCCCAAGCTCGGTTGAAAAGGACCAGGTCATCCCAGTTGTACAACAACCAACAGATCCATCCTACTCCTCAATTAGAAGCCATGAGAAAAAAACAAAAGATATTTTAACCTTTTTGTCCTAAAAGGTACAAGAAGTACAAAAAACAAAGTGTAGCTGCTGGCTACAAACTACTTAAAATGAGCATATGGTCCACAGGCCATGCACTGGGTCATACAGCTCAAAGCACTTCACTGCAAAACAAAAGCCACAGCAATTTCTGTGCCAAAGAGTGCTTTCAGTAGTAGCAATATACTGAACCTATCTATTTAGTTTAGATTGATCTGGTTTAGTTTAGTTGAAACCAAACTAACACCTGTCTATTTTTAATAGGTCAGCAGAAGAGATTTCCAGTTCAAGGGACCGTGTCTTGGACAAGTGAGAAGCTATCTCAAGGGCACAAGAGGCAGAAAAATGCTGTTTGTTTCTTAACAGAGAAACATCACTTCTACTATTCTTCACTTACAGATTACCAGAACCATTTCTAACACTCATTCTAATTTTCACAAAAATGTCAAGAACAAACACAATAAACTTCAGTTAAACATCAGATATTTGATAAACTTTGAAATCCTTACAAGACATTTTCATAATGAAAACAGTTCTGCAATAGTATCAATCAGCAGGGTCATATTTAAATATTCCACACTTGAATTCTGCAACGGTTCTCACACGGAAGCTGCACATTTTTCATTACTATTGTAAATGAACTGTATGTGATAACAGAACTCATTTTATTTAAAATTCTAATACCTCCCTGCTATGTATTGATCTAAACATCTTAAAAACAGGCTAACTTCCTTTGCCCCATTTCACAAGTAGAAGCACACGACTAACAATTCCTTAATATTAAAAGATAAAAAGAATTTGTGCGTGTTTGGATTCTGAGAACTTCACGGCAAATTCAAATGGAACTTGATAACGTAAGTTTACATTTCAAGAATTTCCTCAAACTCTGAAAGCCAGAAACCCTATTTTCAAAGACAAAAAAAAAAAGGTAGTTCTCAGATACACTTTTGCAGCTAATTATGTTGTTCAAGGAACATCACCTACAGCCAGCCTTTACAATGATAAACCCAGTACATACGAAACCAGACTTTCACAAATAGCAAAAATTTGAGTTTAGAAAAAAATCCAGCAAGCCCCCACACAAAGAACAAACAAAATTAATACCGCTGGTAGAGCTAAGCTGGTTTCCTGAATGGTTTTCTTTTTGTCATCTTTATGTTCTCTGCTTTGGGAAGTAGAACGACGCCTCCCTCTCCCTGGCCGACCAGGAGACCTGGATCGAGATCTGCTGGCGCTTCTTCTGGAGGGAGAACTTGAAGAAGACTGGCTCTTCCTGTGCTTGAATGATGACTGAGACTAAAGGAAAGCAGGGAAGAAAGCAAAATCTTATCTATGTTCCAAAGAACAATGTTAGAAACAAGGTGGGTTTTTTGTAACAAGGACCCTGGCATACAGCTCTGTGGATTTGTCTCTAATTTCCTTTACTGATGCTGTACAAAGCCTGTTAAAAAAGAGCAACTGCAGCATACTCATTTTGCTGGTAATTCCCAAACAATTCTGTCCCAGGTCCAACTGCTTCTGACAATCCCTATCAGAACTACAGAAATCAGGATATGGATGTAAACTACCAAGGTGAGCAACAAGCCCTTAGGCCTCTCAATCCTTTGCATAAGGAAGGGAATTAATTGATAGTTGTCTCTTAAGCCCTAAGAGACTGCTCTCATTTCCATATTTCCATTACTCAGCTTGATTAATGCATTTGACATAGCAAGATGTCATCATCTGTTTAAGGCAACACAGATCAAATCAACACTAAAAAAATCCAAGTCAGCTAATTCATTTAATTAGATGCGATAACTAATTTCATAAACAGTTTTCCACAAAAGTATTGTTTGATTTCTCTGTTTCCCATGTAACATTTCCAGAATGCGACTTTTATAATGCACAAATGTTTCATGACAACAAAAGGCTTTTCCTCAGCTTGAGTTTGCTAACCTGCAAGCAGAAAGTAACAACAGGTTACAAAGTCCTGAAGCAGTGATTACCCCAAGGCAGAAACATTTTGGTTCCAAAGTAAAAGGCCAGTTACTGGGCAAGCACACTGCCACCAAGAAGTGAAACTACTGTCACATAAAGACACATAAGTCGGCTTTGAACTTATGCAGGTTTCAGAACAGGCCACAAAAATCAACTACAGTGAACATTCAAACAGGGTTTTTTTCTCACGCATTATCATATTTTAAACTGAAGTGAAATCTGAAATATGGAGTTTTAAAGGCTTTTATTAGTAATAAAAATGAAATAATAAAGATATGTAAAGAGGAAGGAATGTGCTCACATGCATATGCCATGAACCTTTCTCAAGAGTTTCTAAATGTCACAAATGTAGCAAAATACCTTAAGGAGCCTTTGAGGACCTAAAGCAGGACAAGCTATTTGCAGATGCTTTAAGTATGTGCTTAAAGGGCACACACTATTTATATTTACAGTGATCCTTAACTACAGGTTTCCATTTGTTTTCAAATTTTCCTCTTTAGAGGTGGAAAAACGTCAAATTAGCATCAGCCCTCTGATTACTGCCTTTATAAGGCACCCCAAACTGATTTTTCATGAAGAATCATGCCATAGAGTTCCCAACGGATCAGTCTTGTTTTTCCCCAAACACATCACTGTTTTTTTCAACACAAAGCAAACAATCACGCTTCTTTAAAGATGGGGTTTCAGAACTTAACTACCTGAGAGGTCCCATAGGAAAAAGCTAATATTTAACACCAATTCCTTGAAGACACAGTTAATAAAAACTTGTAAAATGACTATCCAATCCTGAGTTGTACTTTTAGCTACATCACAAAGTTGGTGTAATCTTCCACTAGAAGCAGTGATACATACACGTGTACTCACCCTTATATCACTTTCTTTCAGTGCCAGTTCAGTTCCATCTTTGTACTTGACAGTATAAAGATGAGCAACATCATCATAACTGGTCACTTGTACTTCATAGTACAGGACACTTCCTGGCCAACGGCCCATCACCACCTCGCCATCAGCATACCTCCGGCTTGGCATTTTCCAAAAAGTATCCCTAGAAAATAAATCAGTCAGTGCATGTGACAGCTAAACATTAGGCTTCATTTCCCCCCCTACTCTCTTTCTGTATCATTTAGGCTGGAAAGAGGAAACTTTAAACAACTCTCCACTTAAAACAGAGAAAAAGTTATGTGACAAGAAAACAGCAATTATCTGATTTCCAAATAGAGTGAAGACTGAAGATACATATTCTGGAAAACTGTTCAAATGTATTAGACTAGTACTCAACTATGATATACAACCTCCATCACCAGGCAGAGCACATATTTGACCAAAATTACATAATGCAGCTCATCTTATCTAGAGGGGGAAATGCAAATTAGATGGTATTTAACAGTCCTCTAAGCCACTTTCCCTGTGGTTATACTGATATTACAGATGTGATGATTTCTAAATATTAAACATTGCCAATCTCTTCAACACTTACATTTTTTTGTCACATTACACTTTTTTTTCCAATTTATTATGCCAAACATTCGAAAGTTATGAAACTTCAGAATTTAGGTTCCTGTCTGGGTAGAGTTATTTTCTCTTTTCCACCTATTTAGCACAAGGTTTGTACTGCCTTTTGCAGGGGCCCATAGGAAAACAAAGTCCGGTAGCAGAGCAATCACACAGTAACCTGAAAAACTAAATTCTATCCCCCTTTCAGCACCAAAAGGTTTTTACTTGATATTAGCAAAACATGGTGCGAGTGAGTAGTACCCTTGGTTCACCACACCAAGTGCTGGAAAAAAAACCACAACTACAATTTACAGAAAACTGGTTTTAAATGTAAAGTCCTGTATAACTGTTTGTAAAATGCTTTGTATTGTGTCATTGCCTTCTGAAAATAAATATCCAAAGCAGAACATACTTTTAACCTGAATTTCCTAGTCTCAGGTCTCACATATCAAGTGAGGCTACCTTAAAGTCTAGGTAAAATATATACCAATGTATGTATTAGCACCATCTGTACAGTGAACACAGGAACTTAGAATGGATGGGGGGAGAGGAACATTTTAACTTGTTTGCTATAAATAAGATGTGAAGCCACACAAACTGAGGTGAAAGCAAGTATTTAACTAGATACTCATTCATTACACATTAACTAACCTGCAAGGAAAAGTTAGATTAGATTCTTGGAGGATGGAGCTCAGTGAGGTTTTTTAATCAACATTCATTCTGGCATTTTCTGAAGATGCTGCTGTTAAGTTTTTACACCTGTGTAGCTCTCCAAGTCACAGAAACAAAAAACTCAGCAAAACTCCCTCATATGGATTTTACCACTAATATTCCTAACTGCTTCAAAACAAGCATCTGGCCACCTCCTCTGCTGTAAAACATTTGCAGGAGAAAAAAGAGTAAGTTTTATAATTTTATTTCACTGGCACTTGTCAGTTGGAAAAATTATCAGAATTCTAGTCTATGCTTGTAGGCACATGCTCTTCCAGCTCCTCTGCCTTCTAACTAGTATTTCTTGTCACAGTTTCCTGTTAATGTCTTATTCTTTCTGAATTCCCACTCCTTCAACTGTTTTATCCCAGTCAGTTTAACCCACTCAAACACATAGCCCTGTTTCTGATGACTCCATGAAATGCAACTTCCATATTTTCATTTCAAATTCTTCATTCTCTCCTTATCCCCCCATTCTTTCAGGATTTCCTGTCTTTTCTGCCCTTGTTCTCCCAAGCAGTTCCAGTCCCTCTTTGCCACCTCTGGGCTCAAGTCTGATCTCAATCCCCATAATGTCTCCTTGGCCAGTTTTCTCACCCAAAAGACAGTTCTTCAGCAGATCCATGTCTACTACTGCTCTTTCCCCAGCCTCCCACAATTACAGCTTCTTCCTTCTCTTCCATAAATAGTCTAAATACCGGTCCTCCAGCTTTCACTAGATGTCATAACCTCACACATAACTTCATTTCCTCTCTGCTGTTGTACTTCCTACACTCCAGCCAACGGTTTCTTCTCTTGACCTAGAGCACCTCAGCCATCATCTGTAAATTTAGAGCCTGACCAGGACAAAGCTGGCAGATCCCAGACAAAGGTGTGAAATACAGAATCTTTGGAGGGTAAGCCCTTTTTGCAAAAGGGAAACATTTTTTCAAAAGTTGTTATTAAGGACATGTACACTGATTTTTACAATTTTTAACAACCACTTCAAAATTTAGATATAATTTCATAGGGATAATGAAATGCAATTCTCTGCTAGACCTCAAAATCCAACAGTTTTGTATGCCAACATAAAAACAGCCCAAAGAAGAGGTAACCTGATGATTTAATTCTTGTGAAAGGCAGGAAGACCTTCCCCTCCTCCAACTTGGTTCTAAAAAGGAGCTGGTTAGTTTTAAGAAGTTGAAAAATGTGGTTGGAAGACCTGTAACTAAATCAATGTTATGTAATTCAGCCCGATGTAGATATCACTGATATGAAATTCCTGATTAATAAATAACTTTAAGCAAGTGCAAATATTATCCTCTGACTCAAAAGTAATGGACAATCTTATTAATGGGAAAATATTTTCCAGTTCTTTTCCTTAAATATTAAAGTTTAATGATAAGCTCAAACATTAAACACTAAAAGAAGTAAATATAACTTCTTACCCTATCAAAAGTAACCACCTTGTTCTGCACCCCAGCTCCTCCTGTGAAGGGGGTTTACAATCCTCATTCCTTCTATCCCACTTCTAAAAGCTACACCGTTTAAAGGCAGCCTTCATCTGTTCAGATAACAGACATGATTACTGACATCAAAAAAAGTAAAGACAGAAAGTCTTTAGAAAAAACCACACCTAAGAGATTACATTTTGAATTTACTGCTCTTTCAAGCTCTACACACACCCCTGCTAATTTTCAGGGTATCAGCTGGCATCAGCCTAATGTTTACAGCAGTCCTACACAAGACTTTCAATTCACAGGGCTTCAAATTATGTATCCAAGGAAGATTATTTCATATGATGAACCCTGTGCTGTACAGACATCAGATTGCAACTATAGTTATTTATGAGATGAAATTTGTGTTTTCTGCACCATTATTATTTTCCTTTAGAAACCCAGACTCAAAGGGAATGGAAAAAAAAGATTTTGTATCCTATACCAAGCAAGACAATTAACACAAAACTCCCTGGAGGTTAAAAGTCAGCCAAGAAGAAAAGTTACTGCTGAGTCAACCAAGAATGAAATAAGTAAAGAGAAACATGGCTGAGAAACACATTACCCCATGCATCCATTTCTGGTCTCTCTTAATAGCTCTCACTAGAGATGTGGAAAGATATTTCACTGTGGAGAAAATAAGACTGCCAGCTTGCAGCCACTGGAAGATCATACCCCATCATCAGAGGTTGGGTACCCAGTTTTAAGAATACATAAATAAACACTAAACAAGCTTTCCCTCTTCGAAGATCAGAGTTCACACATATTAAGTGGTTCCACTCAGTAGTTCTGAGACCTCAGCACTGCTAGATAACGTTCTCTAAATCAGAGGAAGAAGCCATTTGAATGCAAGAAGAAATGCAGAAGAGAACACTGATAGTCGAGGCTAACAAGACAGCCTACACGGAAAGTTGCTACTGAATTCACCAGAGACTGAGCTGTGCAGGACCTTTTCAGCATCACCACTAAACTCTCCACATTTCCAGCTCTTCACCTCCAGACGGTGGAGGGACCTCCCCCTGTCCAAGCCAAACCAGCGCCACCACTACAAACAAGCACACATCAGCCTCAAAGCAAAAATAACAACCCATCAACCCCGGGCCTGGGAAACGAGGGATTTCCCCTTTAAAGAAGCTCTCCAGCGGAAGCACGGCGAGCGGCGGGGACGCGGCAGAAACTCGCACTCCCCGCGCAGGGCCCGGGCGGCGGCGGTGGTGGCGGGGCGCTGTTGACAGGAAGGGACCCACGTGCCAGGCAAGGCCCAGCCCCCCGGCCCGGCCCCGCCCCGCCCGCGCTCCCGGCCCGGGCCTGGCGCGGGGCCTCCGCCGCGGGGGAAGGGAGGGGCCGCGCCGCCCCTCGGCGGCCTATCCCGGCGCAGGGCCCGGCGCGGCGGCGGCGAACAAAGCGGAGGCGCCCGGCCCCGCCAACCCCGGGGCCCGAACTAGCGGCTCGCGCCCCCCCGCCGCCCGCCGCGAGAGAAGCCCGAGAGCGGCGGCGATCGGCGGGAGCGCTTCCCCGC